TTAAGTATTAATTGCAAACATTAACAGCCCTAACGTACGAGAATGGAATTCTCTTTAGATTCGGATCAATCCAAGGCCACTTGACGACTGTTTTATCGAAACATCACGTGATTTGTTGCAATACTTTCTTTATTTATAGTTGTATTTACATTAGCCGTCTTAGATTCTACGTCATTCTGACCCGATTAATTGCTTATCGGATGGAGTTTAGATTTATTTATTTTTGTACCGATCGTAACAATTTAGGTATTTTAATAATAATGTTATACAAACTATGCAATTTAATGGGCTAGAATTTATCAGCGTCGATTTGAAGTCTTCCACTTATCAGATTTCGACAATATATGTATAGCTAGTTAGGTGCAAAATTAATAACGAATTTAAGGACTAAAAATGAAATAGGATTAAGTTTATATCGACTTTAATAATAGTTTTATTGTATTTAATAATTGTAATACAAAAGACATTCATATTTTATTTCAGAGATATAACTCTGACGTCATAATTTTAAAATAGATTTTTTCACAATACTGGTACAGAGCTGGAGTACGATTGAGAGGGTGGATGAGGTCGTGACCTAAATAAAGAGGGTCCCTCGGCACGAACTAATCTGTGGAGACCTCAATTTTAATTCGTACAAAGTAATTTAGCAATGAATGTTGAATTTAATAAATTTTGCAAACGTATTATTTTGGATTATATACGCAAGTTTGTTAATTTAACAAATTCTTTTAAATGTTATTTAATATATCTAAATCAATCGATATTTTTAATCCATAAGGCTCGTTCATGATAAGATCACTTGAACTTTAAATGAGTATCCTTCAGGAATTAACAGACAAAAACCGCAACGCAAGTATTTTTGTAAAAGAAAGGCTGCGGTGAAGTGAAGAAAGGAAAAAGTGGGAAGAATTAATGTAATATAAAGTATGAATCAAATATAATATGTATACCATGTTATTATAGTGAAATCATTAAGTCTACAAGGAATTACTTCGTTATAGTAATTAATTTTCTTTCGTTTTGTATGAAACTACCAACTTAACAAATTTTGTTAAATGCCGGCTTACTGTTTAGAACTATTGCTGGCAAAAGGAACCTGGCATCGTTATAACAGGGAAATAAAGCTACATCACGACCAACTGTATAAAATACACGCTATTTACTTACATTAGTAGTTGACACAGAAATATGAATACAAAATGTTCTGAACGATCGCTTCTATTTTTTAGCACACAACAAATACGGATATGAAGAATAAAATACGTTTGACCTTGAACGCAAGTTACAATGAAAACTCTTGACATAACAAAAAAGGTCTAAAAAAAACCGACAGCTTTCTTGATAACTTTTTGTTGAATCATTAGATACGGCGATAGTTGCGCAAAAAAACATTAGAAGAGAAAAAAAAGGAACGCTTAACGAAGTTATAAAAAGTAGTCAAAATCCAAACGTTTCTTACGTCAGACCGCAAAGGACAAATGAGCAGGAAGTTTACGTGATACAACTATGTTTTAGGGGTATATTCGCTATGCCTCTTCGCTAACTATGTTTTAGAAGTTCACCCGTCTCCAGCTATGTAGTCCACATTTGGTCGACGCCATATAGAGGCCTTATTTGATGCGATGTCGTGGGTGCTGTTGGTGTTTAGTATATCTCACCGCTTTTCTGAGGGGTGAGTCGAGACCCACATATCATATCCCTGTTGCTTTTAGTGCATTAACGCATTTCAACTTTGGTTGAAAAAAGTTTATATAAAATGATATATTTGTCATTAAATTCATAAATTTCAACCTAATCTTTATAAATCACAGAATATTTGTTGCAAAAATGGTTGCATAAGAACATTTTACCACATCATGTTTTTCAATATTAACCACAATAATTATATCGTGTCTGATATACTTGTCATATGACACCACAAGACGTCGTCCCTGATGGATAATATTATGAGTTTATTACTAGAGACTAGAATATGGGCGAGGCGTATTGATCACCCAACAGTAGGTCAGCGATGACAATGAAACAATGAATAATTACGATTATTGGTATATGAATTATTACAAATTTATCATTTGTTAACAATTAGAATAAAAATTGATATCTCAAATGTTTATATTTCAAACTTATACATATTTGCTATATAGAATAACAATTTATAAAGAAACAAAAGCCTAAAATTAACATTAAAGCAAGCCATTAGAAAAACATATCGCTATCGACCTCAACACAAGGAAAAAAATATAAAACGAAGGTAATTTCCAAACTAAGGTTGTAATAACATGCAACCGTGTCTCGACGCTGTCTGATAACAGGTAATAGGGTGAATATATTCAAAAGGATCAATATTACTTGGGCCTCTACAAACATTCGGACAGTTTTGAATTATCTTATTTGATATGATTTTCCTTCTTCTTCCGTTACAACAATAATTTGTTTCACCATGACTGATTATTTTAAAATGCTGTGTTAATGAAAATAGTAAACAAATTGCTATCTGCGTTGAAATATTACTTAATCGATAAGCTTCCATGGCGACTTAACATAGCGTGTCTAGTACACTTTTTATTCGTCGAAGCCCCTTATAATACTACGACGCAATAAAGGAATTCAATCACCTACTTTGTTATATACGCAGGGAGGCTCAAGGACGAATGAGGGAATACGTGATGTGGATGTAATGAAGTATACAGCGCAAAACTAAAGCAGGAAGCCACGCGGTCGCGCCCCAATGCGCATTCAAGCTTTTTATGCAGCCCTTTAACCTAAACATTGCTATTCATGTAATTGAATTACAGTGTAACGGTAGGTTTTTTAAATAACGTAAAAATTTTGCAAATTAAAACTTAAGGTGATACATAATTTGTCAATACAGTCAAAACCGTTTACGACGACATCGTTTAGAACAACATACCGGTTATATTGACCAAAACCAAAGGTCCCGGCTGAATTCTATTGTATAAGGTACTTAATAACAACGTCATCGGTTTTTACGACCAAATATGAGTAGTTCCTTCGATGTCGTTATAACTGATTTTGACTGTATTTATATTAACTCCAATTCGAATTTTTAAAGGGCTATATTATGAATTTAATCAATTTAAAAGGGCAAACATCACATCAGAATGAGCCTAGAAGACTAGAATTAGGCTGTCTGATGGCGACGGGCATCTCATTCCTATAATATTAAGTTTCTCTTATAAAAAATAATGATTTTGTAATGAGAAAATAAAGTTCTTTAAATGTTGTATTTTTAAGAAAAAATGTTTAAGGTTGTAATGTGTAATATATACCTTCATTAAAAAACGATGTATCACATCGGATTCACGGTTTAAATGTTGACATGTTTATCGGAATGTATGCATCCTAAAATTGTAAATAAAATCAAGTTCAAGAGAATAAAGAAGTCACGAATGACTAGTTACTTGTAAACTGTGGCACTGGCGATAAGCCAGCAACTAAAACACAGCCCTCTGTTTATATTGAATAAAATATTTTTGTTCAAAACAAACTGATACACTGCGATCTAGTTTTAGCTGGTGTTGATAATGAACATAATGTCAGGGGCAAAGCTAAAATGTTTGCACATAATCTCGGTAGCATTGACTCAGCTGCAACTTGTATTTGGGATATATAACAGTAGTTGTAGCTTTTCAAATAAGAAATTTAACTGACTGAGTCAATATGATTTCGTTGCAATATCTTTCTTCTATCCCACTTACATGCGAAATATTTATGTTTATAAAACAGCAATAAATAAACAGGTGCATTACTTGTATTGACGTCATACACTGCCGATCGGTTTTCTAGTTTGAATTATTCAAATACGAAAGAAACCATGTGCCATTTTGGTCACATTCCAACCAATATATGAACGTGATTCTAAAAGCGAAATTGTCATAACGACGGTCAAGAATTAAACGTATGTCGTCAAAATGATATATCTGACTCTAACACAGAGTCATTGAGTTCAATTTTAGTGAGAACAAACAAAGTGGAGACGAACACTTTGGGTGCACTCAAAAATGTATCATATCGTATAGGGTTTAGGCATAATTTCGTTCAAACCTATCATCCGAGATACAGTCTATAAAGACAAACGGAGCAATTTGCCTATTGCTGATGTCAATTATCGCCCCCCGCACATATTACGGAATTAAAGCAGGTCTGTGAATTCTGTGACGCCTCTGCAATCGCGTGAATTGAAAGGATGCTGGAACCGGTTGTTACCTGACATCCAACTGTGTTATTATACGTAGGAAACTGTTTGTTGTGTTTTGGCATAGTTAAAATTGGCTTTTCAGCACGATACATTTTCTACAAGCACTACGCTCAGTTTACTTACAAGTGTTTTACGAGTGACTGTTACATTGTTTTGTTGTAATTTTGTTATTAGGAATTTATTTTCTCAATTAAAAACGATTTAAAATATATACTTGAGAGGCAGGGTGGCTTCAAATCTTAGTGTGCAGTAGGAGAACTGTAGGTTTAAGTTTTCCGAAAAAAACATAAGATCATATGCACGAACAATCATTTATAACGAAGCAAACAATATTTTACACAAAGATTTTTGCAAGAGTGATATCATCAAATCATATAAAAATCTGTTGCTTAGGCCTAAGACAATAAAAAAAACTATACTTGTCAGATAATAGGTTACAACGTTTTTTACTTTAACCAATTTTACCGGGCCTTGTTATGTGTAAATCGACAGACAGTAAGACTAACTTACTAATATTTTTTTAACTTTACTTTTGAGGTAGCCTTAAAATCCACCAGGAAAATAAATATTTTAAAGCTGAATTCTTACATAAATCGAAATGATAGCAACGTAATTCAGTTCAGGGTCTTGTCTATTTTCCGTAAGACATAGACAATATTAGAATCTAAAGACCTAAAGTAGTTTTAAAAAATCGTTTGCAAAGATTGTACTTAGAGCATTCGTTACTAACATATGTTATTATTCAATTTGAATCCTCGACGTAGTTAAAATAATAAAACTATTTAGCATTGAAACATAAATTGGCAGAACAGTTGAGAAACTTACCAGGCATAAAGTGTAACAGTGCTGCGGTGATGGGGTAAAGGCTGGGGCTGTAGGTGATGTCGGGGCAGGCGTAGCCAAGAACAGATACCACGCGATCAGCAACCGCTCTGCCTTTGCGAGTCAGGTGGTAGCCGAGACAGTGTGTCGCCTCCACAAAAGGCGGCAACATGATCGGCTTGTCTGGGAGCTCCACGGTTCCGAACACCTGGAATGATAATCAATATTAAAACGATTGTAAACGATAAATTTACATACTTCTAATCATATCTTTTGAACATTTGTTTCAAATTTTAACTTGATAGCGGCACCTTTTAAATATATCAAGTCAACGGATACATAATTCTGTTCGGAAGTGTCGCAACAAACACACACATTTCTTTCTAGTAAGAGTTGCTCAATCAGTCTAGACTTAACTATGTTAGTCACTTCCTATGTAATTATGGTTACGACTACTATGCCGCTAAAGAGGAAACTAGATGAGATTCTATTTCAATTATATGTTTGCTGCAACATTCATACGATATTTTACACTCAATATTATTATTAATAAGTAAGTGGTGTCTCTACAATATCAATGCTGTCTTTTAGATGAATAGAATTTTTACTTAGTTATCAATTGAATAAACAATGTTAAATCAAATAAGGTTATTTTTGCAAAAACACATCACATCACAAGTCGCACCAGATCGCAAATTCATATAGTAAACACCTTTAAATCTCTTATTCAATCTGTCCACAATAGCAAGTTCGTGATTATCCACTTTGCAACAAGGCCATGCGAAGTGGGCAGACAAATTATATCTTTCTGCATACAGAGTTGTACAATCAATGTTTCCTTTTGTTCTTATGCAATTTATGTTGCCAATTGATATTAGTGTTATAGTAGATTCAGTTAGTAATATAAAGCAGTTTCAGACTGCTTTATATAATTGTACTCAGTAACATTGTCCTTATCAAACTTTTGTGTAAGTTTGCAGAACTGGCTGGCTGCCCTCTATTGTTAATGGTAAAACTTTTAGAACGATGTTTACTAGTCTGTGTAGCCAGATAAATATTATTGCAATAGTTGAATTATTTTAAAAATATGAATCCTCAAGCCATGTAAAGCCCCAAGAAAGATGAATTTGAGTATTTAAAGCTGTAAGAGAAAATATTGATTACACGATTTTCATTTAGTTTCTCGCGTCACCTGACAGCAATGTAAATAAGTGATATCCAATGAGGTTATGTTTTTTTTTTTGGATAAGACTGGTTTAGTTGTGAATATTATGAGTAATACATATATTAACATTTCCAGAAATAATGTATACCTGAAGAAGAAGCTAAATTCGATTTTGTTTCAGAAAAATGCTATTCCGTCTTCGTTATTAGGTTAGGTTAAAAAAAATACTTTATAAGTTTACGAGTAGTTATTTCTTGTTTTGCCTATCATTGTTAATATTAATGCTGTACTGAATTAAGTGTTTAAATATAAATTTAATATCAGTATCCATAACATTTTTATCTTATCAAATGCGAGAGATTACTAAAATGACATAATACTATTCTATCTGCAGTGGTTTCTCCTTGACCGAACAAAAAATGTTTACCGTCAAATTATTTTCTTTAAGCTCCTCAGAAACCAAAGCAAGGAATAATAAAGTACATCCTATTTTTACTAATAATATTTACTATTTTAATTCTAAAGAAAATGTTTGATAGTATACACTCGTTTTCTATCTTACACAGTAAGCTTGCCTAAAAAATGTTACCATCATTTTTACTAAACAAAGGTTCGATGAACGTTAATCTTTCACGATAAGACTTCTATGGCCGTCTGTTGTCTAACTTCAACGTCGCCGAAGATACGATTGCGTAAAATAAACGGAGCAACGACCGTATAGCAAGCAATGCTAGCGATAAATAACGTAAAAACAGGCCAATAACAGTCCGTCACATATAGAAATCCGAAGAGACCGGGTTGTTGGGCGATGCCAGAACTAAAAATAAACAAAAAATTGCGAGCATAGTTTCGAAAATAAGAATGTTTAATCCAGAAAGTATAAAATAAGCGATGTATATTTAAAATAGTAGGTCCGAGCCAAACTGGAGAAGTTTACGGAAAGAGTAAAGGCGAAGAGGACTATGCCCAGAGAGCAATGGAGACCTAGAGCTAGGCTAAGAATCAAAAAGATTTACAAAATACGAAGCGGCCAGATCAGGGCAAAAACTGACAGACGTGCTAACTCACTCCTTACAACTAATATGGAAATGAACAGGCCATGCTACAAGGTGTACAGATCGACGATGGAACGCCGAAGCCGGGATCTCCAGAAAAGAGAAACGTGGAAAGACCACTAAAGCTGACGACATTACAACAATTTCTGGACTGAAATGGAGGGAGGAAGCAAAAAGCGGATCCAAATAGAAAGTACAAGAAAGTACACAAGGCCTTAACCCCACAGGGGTACGTACTGCAACAATCAATAAAGATAACAATAACTAACCTAGACATAGTGAGTAATAACAAAACTAACACCCATTTGATTTGTAAATTGTATAGTAAAAGTAAAGTTGTTTTATTATTATTATTAAAGTCTTTTAAATATTAAAATAAAACACACCTATGATAAAATCAGGTAATTACCACAACAACTCCATACTAAGTACACCAACAGGCAAACGCAACATTTATTAAAAATGCGAATTTAATTTTCAGACAAAATGTAAAAAAAAATATTTTAAACAAATGCAAGTGATTTCAACGGCATTTTCACGGCGACCCATTTTCTTTAAAGCTAGCGTGGTCTTCATTAATTAATACTTTACTTCTTACACAGTTCTTGGAGCTCAACATACAATTAAATAGTAATATTTGCCGTAATTATGGTACAGAAAAACATCAAAATGAATTGGACCATACAGGTAGTTATCAACGATAAATCAATTTAATTTCTACAAATATAAGCTCTAATAACATAGTTTAACATCACTTTTAGGAACTACTTTAAAAAAATAACTTAGTTATATTTAACATAAAAATAGTATCTTAGCGATTATTTAATCTCATTGATTACATAATCTAACAGATATAGTATTATAGCTGAAGTATTAAACTAATCCAACTGTTATCATACCACGACCATCAACAAACATTTTTTAATCCTAAAAATAGCACTTTTATTAACCATTCTTATATTTTTCCTTAGCTTTGTTGATATGTCCAATGTCGGCAATAGATAATTAATTTCTTAGATAAAAACAATGATCAACATTGCGTGAGTGCCACGCCTCTGCGGGCGCATTGTCCTTCATTCAGTCAAGGCCATCCACTCCAGCGCAACTAAACATGACATGTTTGTAGATCAATATAAACATGTTCACAAATGATACACTGTTCTTTACATTAAAACTGGGTTTCGAGATGGATATTATAAGTACAAAGTCCTAAAAATTACATTTGTAACTTATACCAAAACTGCCGCTAGAGGCTAGCAATGTCTACTTCTGACGTGCTTATGAACGTCACGAAGGACAAACACAAAATAAATTCTTACTTCAATTCAATGTCATTTTTTATAGGAATGACATAACGAAGTGAAATAAGACCTAAAAATATTTATAAGGCTAAATAACTCTACCTCCAATTGTCTGATAATACAAATTGGGTGATGACAAAGTTTATATAAAAATTATGTTTTTAATACTCATATATTATATATGATATAGATAAATCCGGTTGATAGCTGTAACTAAATTAATTGTATTACAAATTAAACGGTAAATTGTGATAAAATAATAATATTATTTCGTTGAAACTTTACAAGTAACTATGAAACAAAGCCATGGAATTCCAATTCAACTCCATTGACATTTTCAAGTATCACTTGTATTTCAGTGCCACAAGATAAAATCTATTGAAATAGAATTCGATAAATATGCCCCCGTATTGTCTTAATCTCGATGGTCTAATTAACTATCGAACTTCCTCAGCGATTGTGTTAAAACACGAGTTCACTTACAAAGTGATTTGAGATGATTTACTAACTAACTAAGATTGGTAATTAAAAATATATTATTCACAATATTGAAACTAAAAGCTTCTTAAACGGATATAAACGCGAAAACTTTACATAATTTTATCCTTAATACACATTAATTACATTTTCGGGAATTATAATTTGTAGCTTATAAACGCTGTTATAAAATACCAATGGCAAAATGATCACAGCCTTCTTCACATACCGTCGACTTTTTCACTCTAAGATCTCTCGGAAAAGTCTAAGACATGCCGCTTTTCTTACGATGTTTTCCTTCACTGTACGAGCGAGTGTTAAACGCGAACATCGACAGAGAATTTAGGCATTAGAGAAGCTACGACCTAGGACCTTCAACATTGCTCGCTTAAAATTTAACACTATTCACCTCTCAAAACGTTTTCACAAAAAAAAAAATCCTAAGCATAATAGGTAACAGAATAAACAGCTTTATTCATGATGCGGGTACTTCACGTGAAGCGGGATTACGGTGGACACGTGGGCGGAGCGCGAAGGCCCCAATTAATGCGGGTACAACCTCGACGCGACCTCTGACACAAACAATCAACGCTTAATTCAATAAAGTCTCCTGGCGTTCGCAATTTGCAATTTTTGCCTTATTTGATACAGAGTGGTTGAGTTCTTGTGCAGTACTTAAAAGCTACGGGTTTAGTCGATTTAATAATACATCTAAGATACGACATAACTTTAAGATACGTCGAGTGTTCGTAAAAAATCCTTGAATTAAACTAGGTTTTCTATTTCAGTTCTTCGTTTCAAAACTCAAAATATCTTTATTCATATAGGTTAACAAGTACACTTATGAACATAAAAAAAAAGTTAAATTAATTGTAAATTTACATTTACTACCAGTTGGCAAGTCAAGGGCGTAGAGCGGGCAAGAGGAACTAGCAAGAAACTTTCCGCCACTATTTTGAATCGCTAAGTTTTGAGACATACAAATTGTTTGAACTGGAGCAAATCAATCCCAAGGATTAGGATCATTTAAGTACATATTCGGCAAATTTATAAAAAGCTTTATTTATATTAATTTACGTTTAACGAGGGCTTTGAATTTATTGAGTGATAATTCTCTTAAATATATAAAATATCCTATTATGTAAATGGTAGGGACATGTCTAGTGAAGTATTATTTATTCTAGTGCCACTCAAGAGTTTCTAACTAGACGCTCACGCTTTCGGTTTTTTCATATATTTTCGCTTCATGAATTATGTTTAGATGAAGTAATCCGTTTTCCAGTTTTCTTTACTTTCTCGGTCATTCGAGTTTTATGTGTTAAAAATATTTTCTCTAGTAAATTATAAAGAAGATTTGATTGTTTTTTTGCATTGGGATCCACAACTACTTGACCGATTTGAGAAACACAACCACCATTAGAATTCTAAATTATCCCTGATGAACATATGCCATAGAATATTTTCAAAAGGTATGAAAACTGATTGACGATGATGTCGACCAAGGTAGTAAATAAATAAATAGCAATAAAACTATATCGCGCAAACAGCAAAAAAGTATTGACAATAATAAAGGACATCTTAATCTCTACAAAAAAGTACATCTGTGCGGAGTCTGGACTAAACGTTAGACCTTAACAAACACACCATCCTCTTGGCGTGTTTGAAGTTTCATTCCCATTAGACTTCTTCTCGATTAAGGCGTTGTCTATTTATCAAAATCTCTCGAAAAATCTTCATGCGAAAAACGTAAATTCATTAAAAGTTAACCACGGTCTCAACTGCTATATATAATCTATATATTGGATAAAAATTGTCATGATTTTCAAACTTTTCTAAAATTATTTCTGCACAAGAATGTTGATATACCGAGCAGTATTTTGATCCGCAAATATCATAAACATTCGCTGAATAACTTGTGTTTTTCACAATCGACTCGCGCGCACGAAAGATTTACAACTGGTAAAACAGTTATTTCCGATGCATGTATTGGCTTTGCCGAAAATAGCTCTTATACAAACATTGCTGAGTACATAGGAAAGTTTCCAATTATTTTATTACCTATGAAGGTGCTGCGCTATTTATATTGTTAGCTTTAAATCGCTACCCTTAGCAATAAAAGCTATAGATGCATATATAATATGTTAACAAAGACGTTGCGCTTACTACATGCGGTCTATTTGACATTATCGTATAGGCTTAGTACTGTAGGTTCTATTTTTGTGAATAAAGATATATATATGTTCCTGACTAACTTATTATAGCGCTTCTCAGTAGGTACGCACTAATTGCATTTTCTAGATAACGTTACAAATGTTTATAAACGAAAATTATCGCAACATAATGAATGGCAATACATTTTATAAATAATCTCTCTACAATTGCGCAGTGTTTGCGTACATTATTATCGGCAATGATGATTTACGACATTTTAAGATTCACATTTACGTGGGGTTTAATTTTATACAGAAAAATAGTTGTCAAGGCAATACTTTATATCCGAATAAAACACCTTTTCTTACTAACAATTTTTAAAGATACTTCCTATGTCCACAGGTATATACCTAGTAAATAGTACTGAAAAACATTAGCGAACATTCATTTCTTTGTATTTCAGTATCACCTACACACACCATTTCCGTGGCTGGACAACGATTATAAGCCAGAGGATTTTTTCTTTGATTTCCAGTGAACCAATTATTGTTTGATAGATACATAAAAAGGGTGATCATCTACTATTATAAAAGACATAGAAATGTGTCCGT